GAGAATCCATATGTGATGCTGCGGCAGAACCACCAGGAACTGGAGGGGAACGACCGCTATGAAGGTTTCTGTGTGGACATGCTGAAGGAGCTAGCAGACATCCTCAAGTTTAAGTATCAGATCCGGCTGGTGGCGGATGGAGTTTATGGGGTTCCTGGAGCTAACGGGACGTGGACCGGCATGGTTGGAGAGCTCATCTCAAGGGTAAACAAACACACATCAATACACACCTGCAGTGAGACACAATGATCACGTCATTGTTTTAGTTAGAAGGGAAATCACCATCTAAAGTTCTCCACAGTGATGCTAAAAACCCAAAATACTCAGTTCATGACAGATTCCCTCTATCTCCCACTCAGCAGTTGGCCTTTTCTGCTCTAATATTGTTTTTTAAACCAGTCACCGCTTGTTGGTGGCTCGTTTTCTGTCAGCCTCTTTCTTTAAGCTGTCTGGAGTGACCTAAACAGGCTCTCCCCCTGAATCCATCCACGCTGCTGCTGCTGGTGACTCTCAGAGCGATGCTGATGTACTCGTGGTTATGCTGTACCTCGCTGTGAATAGGCTGATAAGGTTATAAAGGGGGGTGAGAATGGGCAGGGCCTCATCTGTGAGGAGAAACCTCAGCTTGTTGGTTTAAGGATATAAAAGGAGTGTGTCACAGTAAACAGATCCAGGATCAGGATAAAAGATGCAGGATGAAAAACACTCTTCTAGCAGCAGAGGAGGACATTCTGAGGACATCTGGACACCAGATTTCTGTGTCTCTGCTGGACGACTCAGGCTGAATAATGTTTCTTTGAATCAGAGATTTATTTTGACTTTTGTCACAAGGATCAGAGAGAAGTCCCTGTTCAGAATAATCTGGTTTCTTTCTGAATTAATCTGAACAAGTTGAGTTTAATTCATCTCATTCATTCACAGGTTTTCTTCTTTTTACTGGATCAGAACAATATGAGTAAAAAACAGAGGAAATGGGTTTAATGCAGCACTAAACAGCTGATCTTTGACTGATAAATGCAGGCGAACAAAAACGTCTAATAATGTTTATTAATGTTATATCTGGAGTTAATATTTCAGCAGCTGTAGATTTGTTAGAATCACCTGGATGGTCGATTTGTGTGTTTTTCCCTGAGCCGGAAACAGGACATCAGAATTTCAAATGATGGAAATCAAATATTTTCCTTCCAGATCTGAGAATGGAGCTTTGGTCTGAGCTTGAGAGGTCAGTGAGGGAACATTTAAAGGTTAGAGTGTGTGTTGACAGTGTAAGGATTTAATTTACATCTATTTGATGAACCATAAGACTTGAGATTCCATAGCGAATATGAAATCAGTCTTATGCATCTTTGGGAACTTTTAACCAGAATATTGGAACTTTTTATTGCAGGGATTATGTAACACTTTGTATTAACTGAGAGACAAGAGAAGAGAGAGTCGCCTTTAAAATGTTTAAGATTTATTTCTAAACAATTTTAAACAAGACTAACTCTAAACTTTAAGTGATGGACGGATCTTGGTGTGAATGAGATTTGAGATGAATGGTGTGTGTGTGAGTGATGTTGTCATCAGAACTCTCTTATCCGGAGAAGCAAGTCTGAGTGATGAAGTGATGTTTTGCTCTTGAGCTATGATCGGAGTTTCATAAACACATAAGACGCCATTTTGTCGCTCCACACTTACCCTTAGAATGAGACCTCCATACAGAACCAGAATGCCAGGTCCTCGAACCCCTCTTTTGGTACCGGAGCCGATGAAACAGCGTCAGCAGTACGACAGACTAGTCTTTGGATTGTCTCCAGGTAAAAAGCGACAGTTGATTGACAGCGTCAGATGGACCCGGAGGGTCAGTGAGTTCAGCTTTTATTCTGAAATAAACCGTTGCTTGGATGGTAAAATGCAACAGATTTTATCCAGCTTGTTGGTTCCTTGCTTAAAAGGAAGTCCGGGTGGCCGGTCCGATACTTCTCTTAGAATGCGGTGAACTGAACTTAAGATGGCGTGGGGACTGGTTTTATTAATCTGGATGTTTTGATTTACGGTCGAATCAGTTGGACAGATTCATAAGCACCACAGAGACTCTGTCACGCTTCAGAAAGGAAGGTTCCGATTGGATGAGTAAAAGCAATGTGTCATGCGTTTACATTACGTGTGATCAGGATGTCTAGTGCAGCTAGATTAAAGTCATATTACTTATTAAAACTTACTAATCATAACATTGTCATTTCACAGATTGGTCAACATCTTATTATTGACTAACACTTTGTTTGATTAGCTTCATTAAAAATAGAAAGAGTTCTTCTTTCTTCTCTTGGGCTGGAAAGGAAAACAGTTTAGAAGCAAATGCATGAGACCTCGACCAATATCTCATGCAGATTAGTTCCTGCTGAGGAGAGGGAGGAAATGACTTTTAGGAGGAAAGTCATTTCATTCCATTACAACAGAGCACTTTAAACTTGTTCTAAATGTTAGAACAATCATAGAAAATCCATGTTTAAACCAAAACAAAGCTTTATGTGTGTCAGTTGTCCTCCCTGATTCCTTCACACAGAAACAGTCTCAGCTCTGAGTTGGGTCTGCACCGCTGCTGCAGCTCTCCCCTGTCCTCACCCCCATCTCCCCAATCCTCTTAGTCCTCCTGCAGCAGACAAAGAGCCATGCTTTACTGCTTTCACTCTTCGTTCTGCAGGGACAGGAGAAATCTCTGCAGCTGCACTTTGCTCGCCTTCATTATTAGTAGAAATCCAGCTGCAGCGACCATTTCTGCCTGTCTTTTAGCAGACTTCGCTGTGTCAAGTGATTTCCCTTGATGATCCCCACCACCACTGCCACCACACACACACACACACACACACACACACACACACACACACACACCAGGCAAAAGCTGAATAATCCTCTCCACAGATTGGTGCTGTTGGTGGACAAAGAGACTAAAAAACACAAAATGAGGGTTTTGGAGTTTTAGCTGCAAAACCTCCTCTTATGTCACCCTTGTGGTGTTAAGTGGCTGAGTCATAGACATGATGTAATTCCTCTGATCTGGTTCCATGTGTTCACGGTGTCTTACCTTTCAGAAAGCCGACCTGGCGGTCGCTGGACTGACCATCACTGCAGAGCGTGAGAAGGTGATCGACTTCTCCAAACCCTTCATGACCCTCGGGATAAGCATCATGTATCGTGTTCACCTGGTGAGTACACACACACACACACACACACACACACACACACACACACACACACAGAAGCTTTCTCAGACAGATTATCACAGCAGGCCCTGGGCCATGTCTAATAGCTGGGAAAGAACCACTCTCCTCTCTTTTCTCTCTCTCTCAGTAATTTCTCCTCTTTGGCGTTGGCTCTGTTGGCTAACTCTTCCACCTCTCCACTGCTGTGTTTTCCTTCCCCTGTGAGCTCTATTCTTCCTGATTTACTATTATTCCCTTTCTTTATTTCTCTTTTTTACTTCTTTTTCTACTTCTTGTTTTGTCCTCCTGCTCTTTGGCCTCCGTCCTCCAGCACCAGATGGTGTTTTATAGTGTGAACTTCTAAATGAATGGAGCAGTTTCACACTCTTTCTCTGCTTGCTCTCTGATTATAGTTTGTCGTCTTATTCACACAAGCAGATCCATCCATGTGCAGCCGAGAGCCAGCCCAGGGACAAAACGAATGAAACAACTGCAGCACAGGTGGAAGTGAGCCAGTGTTCACTTGGCCTGTGGCTCATTAATCATCAGTCCTACCCAAAAACCCAAAGTGACACCACTGGACCCAGTGGTACCGACCACAGTCCCCACTAAGATGTTCTGGGAGTGTGTCTGAGCTGACAATGCAGCAACCCAGAGGGGCGTTTACTCACATTTCTGTCCCATCTTGTTGTTGTTCCCACTTCCTGTTGGAGCTCAGCTCCAGTACAGTAAGATCCAGGGACTGGACTCGGCACCAAGAGCCTTAAACGGGCAGCTGGGCAGCGCATGACCTGAGAGGGGAAGGCAGGTGGCAGCACGAGGAGATGATGTGGAGCTGTTGTCCCCACCGAGCTGGAGCCGAGACAGAGAGATGAATGAGCTCAGCCTCGACCCAGATGATGCTAAACTTCAGAGTGAAAGGTCACTTAAAGAGAAGTGGAGGCTACAGCTGAGAGAAAAGAGGATCAAAGATAAAGAAGGCCAGCATCTCCATTTCCCTGAGCTCTCTTTACTCTCTCGTTGCCCCTTGGCATTCTCACATCTGATTCACTCTCTGGAAAAATCCAATATTTGAATTTCTGTGACTGAACATATTTAGCTCTAATCCACTGACTATTGATCAGAAACACCGTGATTTCAACAGGGAGGTGAGCTGCTCATTTCAAACTTATAATGAAATTTTCAGTCAGATCAATAAGAATGGTGAAAGTAATAAAATAAAGTGGTTGGCTGGCTGTTATTTGCCGTCTAATTTCCACTATCGGTGTCAGTTTGCATGTATTCCTTTCTCGTCTCTGTTTCTGTGTGTCGCTGATGTCAGATTATTGCTCTTTATGGATTTTGTCACTGATTTCTGTAGCCAGATATGAATCAGATGTTCTGATCGAAGCAGACAGCAGCTCCTGGAGAAAAGAGGCCTGATCCTGTAAATCTGCTCATTTCTAAAGTTGTTTTAAACTCCTGAACCTGAAACAGAATCAAAGCAAAAACACATTCAGACTAAAGCTGCACTGGTTTCTGTTCTGTACAACCTGCTAACGGCTGCAGTCACACTTTCTGTGGAGCATCAAGGAAAACTGTGAACAACAACGTTTAATTACCTGGGGTGTGATTTCATGTTACTTTACACAAAACATGAGGAACTTTGTTCTCTGTGGTTGAACTGACTCGACGACGGGAAATACCGAAACAAGTCTCAGACTGTCTGCATCGTCTCTGCAGCAGGAAAGCGAAACCTCTTCCTGCTTCCAGCTGAACTTTGGCAGGTTGAGGATTGGCAGCTGGCTGATTTAGTCATACAGCAGCAGCAGCAGCTTTTAAATGAGCGGGTGTCTGATACATGGATAGAAGTCAAACCAGTTCAGAGAATGGTTCATCTGAACCTCATAAACCTTCTGCTTCTTTATATTTAGCACATCTACTAAACCAACCTTTATACAACAGTAGTTCAATCTGATGATGGAGTCTAATCAGACACAAGTTCACTGGACATGAATAAAATCTGCTCCAGATTCAGCATCTGCTCTGAAGACAGAACATGTGTACAAATCACCCTGACATGAAGCCAGGCAACCTGGCGAGCTGAGAGGCAGCAGGATGCTGTTGTGAAAATGACCCCTGACCTCGACCAAATCAACAATTCTCCACAAACCACAGCGGCGGTTGTTTTATCCTGTGTAACATCTGACAGCATCTGCTCTGACACAATCAGCACTGAGCACATTTATCAAAAAGATCTGAGTTAAAGACCCAAAATGGAGAAGAGAAGAGAAGAGAAGAGAAGAGAAGAGAAGAGAAGAGAAGAGAAGAGGAGAGGAGAGGAGAAATGAGTGGAAATAAAAGGAGGAGTGAGAGGATGAGAGCAGGTGAGAGTTAAAACGACAACAGGAAGTCTGTATTCAGGAGATGCAACACTTTGTTGCCTGAGGGGGAAACAAGATGGTCTGAATACCAAAAGGCACAATGACGAGGTGAAATTCATGACAGGAGAACTTCAGCAGCTCCTTCAGCCACCCCTCCTGTCAAGTTGGAACTGACAAGCTGCTGCTGCTGACAAGATTTAAAAGAAGAATATAGAGCCCATCTGGTTCTGACAGACCAACCTGGAATAAAGTGATTACACCACCAAAAAGAGTGTTTGAGCCCATCTGAAGGTTTCTGTGGGAGTCCCGGTTCTCAGACCGACTGCTTTTCTACCAAAAATGGACAAAAACACAATCCTAACAACTAAATCTGCACATTTCTGAGACGTGTTTCTAAAGCGTAACACTCAGATGGATTCAGAACTTGTTAGTTTTTAAGCAGATCTGATGATCAGAAGATGAGAGACCCTGTTTAGAGTTCTCCTGGTGGTCTCTCATCAGGCCCAGAGGTTTTCAGATCGACCTCACAGCTCATTTCCTGTTAATGGCTGAATTTTCTGATGTTTCTCGGTTTAAATTAAAAATCCAGATGAGTTTTGGTTCCCTGAGCCCTCCCTCAGTCCAAACTAAATTTGACCCTTCAGCCTCCAAAGGCTGGATTCTCTGGGCAGTCGTTGAACTCGTGTGTTTGATGTTTGGGGCCGAGCAAGAAGAGCAGAGTGATTTTATCAGAACCAGAGTGAGAGTGGAGCAGAACCAGCCGACCACAGCAATGAAATCAGAACAATAAGCTGAAAGATGTTAAAACCCTTGTCAGGGTTGAGAGGAGCTGCAGTCCAGTGATAAACATCTGTTGGTTTGTCAGCATCAGCTTTTCATGATTGTCTGTTGGAAACTTTGATTTATTTGATCCAGTTTTATGCTGATTTGTCCTTTCTTGTATACTATATTTGGAATTTATTCTACCAGAGCAAACATCTTGTTATGTTTTGTAAATGTGGGAAATGTGAAGCCGTTCCCTGCTCATTACTGCGTCTGCTGCAGAAGCACCCTGGATGATTTCCCCTTCGACTCCTGAAAATAAAAAAAGTCCGCCTGAATCCAACAGCAAACAAATTACAGCAGCAAAGTCAGGACTTCTGAGCATCAGCACTCCTGCTGGTTCACCATCATCCCTGTAATACACTGCTCGATCAAAAATAAACCTCCACCTGGATGAAAATAAGCAAATAGGTACGAGCCTCCTATTACAGTAAATAATTACTGCAGGGGCAATTATCTTTCAGCTGGCAACAAGTTATTTAAACCCAACCGGTGCAATGAGTTGCTTTTTATTTCTTAATCAACCATGTGGAAAGATTTTGTGGTCGTGGAGATGATGTTAGTCTGTTTGAGAAGTGTCAAATCATTGTCATGCATCAAGCTGAAAAAACATCATCATTCATCTCAAATCAAAATCAAATCACTTTTATTGTCACATCACATGTGCAGGTACACTGGTACAGTACATGCGAGTGAAATTCTTGTGTGCGAGCTTCACAGCAACAGAGATGTGCAAAAATACAGTAACGTAAAAACAAGCAAAATATAAAAATGGCTAATCTAAGTAATAATATGTATAGTATGTAAGATATATACGTTACTAAATGTGTGTGCTAGTATTTTATTTCTTTTATTTTTCTATGTGTGTGTGTGTGCGTGTGAGTGTGTGTATAATGCGTATATACATATTTAACAAATGAATAAAGTAAACAATAAAATAAGAGATATAAAATGTAAAATATACAGTGGCTGGTATGTGCAAAACAGTGGCATTAATGTACAGTATGGAATGTGTAATGTTGGAGTTTCAGTAGTGAGGGTGAGGTGTCTGTGATGTGTTCAGCAGTCTGATGGCCTGATGGAAAAGCTGTCTCTCAGTCTGCTGGTTCTGGACCGGATGCTGCAGAACCTCCTTCCTGATGGAAGTAGTCTGAACAGTTTATGGCTGGGGTGACTTGAGTCCTTGATGATCCTCCCCGCTTTCCTCAGGCACCGCTTCCTGTGTCACGTTCTGAGGATGTTAGGACCCAAATATGCAGTTACCCAGGATGACACGAGGCAGAGATGATGAAAAAGTAAAATTCTTTATTTTGAAGGCGGAACAAAAGTAAATCCAGGCAGCGAGCCAGAAGTCCAAAATTCCAGATAAGCTCTGGAGATCAAAAACTCTAGAAAGTCCAAGGGGCAAAGAACACTGGTAATCCAAACGAGACGAGACTGACAGAATAACAAACATTCAATGGACCGACAAGAACACAGAGACAGACAGGGCTTAAATACGCTGGGAGAAGTGATTAGGGAAAATGGGAGCAGGTGTGTGAAGTGAGAGCTGGAGGGAAGACAGGTGAACCTAATAATCAAAATGGGCAAACAGAAACAGAGGAGGGCCAAATAAACCTAAGAAACTCTAAGACACCAAAACTAAATCTAAAGGCTGCGGGAAGGACTAATACACACACACCAAGGCACTAATATATAAACGGGAAAGGGGAATGGACAAGCACACACACACACACAGAACAACACACACACACAAACACAAACTGAGCAGGAGACTGGATCTCACACACACACGTTGAGCTGGGGACAAGGAAGCTG